AATTAAGCAGAAGTTTACAAAATTCCAGTGCCCCCCACCAGAAAAAAACAATGGGACCGCCAAAACGAGAAGGAGCTGGAAAGGGGGTTTACAAATAATTAAAGGGAATAAGAATGAGAATTGGATAAGGGATTTTATAGTTTAATTAGCTGAGATGCAGCAAGGAGAGGAGAAGCAAGACGAATAGATAAAGAAAGGGTGGACAGAAAGCACTGGAAACACACAGATAAAAAATGACTCACGGATCACTTCTCCCCCCACCCTTGCAATTACTTGGTTTTCAATTTGTGGGGTAAGAGTCTGAGAGGGACTTAGGATACAGGAGGACAAATACTCTGAGGGGAAAGCAGAAGAAAAGGATGCCAAAGAAAAAGCTGACCAGAAAGACTCCAGAAGGAGTGGACAGGTTGCCCTCCGGAGCCCCCACCTTCATAACAGGGCTTCAGGTCATTCTGGACAGAGGTGGTGAGAGACTCATAGATCCTCCTCTTCTTTCTGAGGATGTAATCCTCCAGGCCTCCCAGGATGGCGCTTATCTGCAAATCCACATTAACAAAAGGCCATTTGTGCCAATTCCTTTGATAGAAGCAGGGAACACCCGCTGTTCCCGTGTGTGGTCACCATTTCCCTCTGCCTTATATTATGCTTGGCTGTCCACATGTCATTTCCTCAACTAGGCTGTGAGCTTCTCATAGGCAGGAACTTTGTCTTAAGGGGGGAGGCACAGGACTCTTCTCTAGTGTTGCCATATAATTCGGGCTGGGCCTGTGCCATGGGATGAATACCTGTGTCCCCCAAAATTCATATATTAAAATCCTAATCCCCAAGGTGATGGCATTAGGAAGTGGGGCCTTTGGGATGTTATTAAGTCATGAGGAGGGAGCCCCCAGGCTCTCTTTACAGAAGAGATTCTAGCAAATTCCTTTGCCCCTTCCACCATATGATTTGACAGTAAAAAGACAGTCATCTATGAACTGGGAAGGGGACGCTCACCAGACACCAAATCTGCCTGTACCTTGCTTGACCTTGCACCTCCAGTCGCCTACGAGGAATACAGGTTGTTTATAACCTGCCTCGTTTACGGTGTTTTGTTACAACAGCCTGAACAGACTAAGCCTACAGGAAAATGGCTCACAGACAAGAATCTTGACTACTCAAAAATTAAAAATGATCTGCAAAAAATGACACATCTTTAAGCTTCACTGCTTTAGATAATACTTCATAGTATTGGCAAAAATGATAGGTTAGTGAAAGTGTTACAAGCACATTCAGACATTTGTACATCTCAGGATTCTTTGAAGATTCTTCCTAGGCACTGAGTCTCCTTCCAACCTCAGCACTTCCTGCCTCCCGTGGCACGGAGCCGGCCCGGGGTCCCACCCCCCACACCCC